CCCGCTTCCCCCACTATATTGTGCGCTTAGCATGCAGTTGTGGTGAACTGCTGGTGGAAGTTTGCTAATTTAGATATAGTTTAGCTGTCTGAGACAAACTTTTCTGCTTTAGCTGATGCTGAGAAGCCCCCACATACACACTTCATATATATTACAGCAGCCTAGAAAAGCAGATTCAAAAGGCCCAGCCCAGCAGCATGATACATACATGATTACCTTGGCTGGAGTTGACAGGATGAGGCAGAGAAGGAGAGGAAGGATGAACAGTAAAAGAAGTACAGTTTGTTTTGGAGCTGGCAGCAATGTGCCTGTGGTCCTCACTGATCTAATAAAGAAAGTATGTAGTGGTTAAGAAAAAGAGGCACTACAACTCCTGAAAACAAACATACAGAGCATATATCAGATCCTGAATTAAAAGAGAACAACAAAAATCACACAATTTGTTTTACTGTGAAAAAAATCAATTTAGTTCACATCCTTAGAATCTATACTTTAATTAAGATAGGGAAAACCTATAAAGGATGCATTCTGCAAAATGCCCTTTTAATTATACTGATCAGGTATTGCATTCAAATTAAGAAAACCGAATAAACACAAATTCTCTATATTGCAGTACAGTACCAGTCCTGCTGATTTTTTAAATGCCAAATCAGGACAGTCCAGTTATAAATTGGTCCCAAGAACATACTTCTTACTGCAAACCTGAAATACCAGTGAGTAGCAGTCAGACTTGTAACATTCACTTTTGCCATTCTTTTATTTTTCCCCACCTGTGCCATCAGGAAAAGATTCTGGGTAAATTAATACTATATAGCCTACATTTCAAATGGAAGCATAGCTGGGCTAGTCCACAGCTGCAGTACTCCATCAAAATTGGTCACTCTGTATATTCTACTTATTCTTTTTGCTCCATGTTCCTTAGGCCACCACAGAAAGTAAGGCCAAGTTACTGCACTTTAACTGAAGAGGGGAAAAAAATGCAATGCTACATTTAAGATGCACCATCCAGAAAAGAAGCAAGCAAAGAAAGAATTATAAGTAAGCCAAATAGGTTCAAGAGTAGTAAGACATGGACTGCACAAGCCTTTTTCAAGAACTATATTATCCATTACAAGTATCATGAAAGTACATTTTACTTGCCTCTCCTCTTCCCTATTAAAAACTCACCTTTTTGTCAGAATTGTTCAGTTTGTATTTGGCCTCCTTTGCTTTTTGTATAGCTTTCAGCACCTCTACAGTATCAAGTTCTTTTTCTGTGGTAACAACATTATCCAAACAGACCTGAAGAAAATTCACAAAAAGACAGGCCTCAATAATACCAAAAGTGATACCCTCTTTATGGAAATGATTATATATACTAACACAAACATTTTATATAATCCAGCACCTCATAGAAAAGAAGGGTTGGAAGGGACCTTCAGAGGTCATCTAGTCCAACCTGGCCCTCAGAGGCAGGATCATCCCTATTCAAACCTATACAAATTCACTGTCTAACCCAGAAGTGTTCAATCTCCTGGCCCCACGGGCCAGATGAGTGATGCAGGGCCAGTCCACAGGCCAGACTGGGTCCCATGCTGCCCTGCATGTCTGATCTAGCACACAGCACCCTACTATCTGGCCCACAGAGCTCCCCATGGGTCTGGACATTTTGCAGCAGGGAGTGGTCCCACCACTTCCCTATCATCAAATTTACAGATCCATAGGGAGCCCCACAGGCCAGATAGCACGCCCCTGTGTGTTAGATTGGGCACATAGGGCAGGGGTCAAGTATCCCTCGTTTAACCTATTTACAAAACTACAGAGTCAACTCTGACAACCACAAAGTATAAGCCCTAACCTGCAATCAGTAAAGCAGAAGGACAACAGTGACCATCATTCTGCTTCTGTAAGGGTTGTTAAAATACACTCAAAAGATCCAAGAAAGGACCACAACCCCCAGTTACAGAGGCTGGCAAAAACCCCAGTCTGTACCAATCTAACAATAGAGTAAAATTCCTTCCTGAATTCAAATGTGGTGATTGATCTGACCCTGAGTAGAAAGGCAAGACCCTCTAAGCAGGAACTTTTAGGTTCAAGTCCCTGCAGGAGCAATGGCACACCCCAGTTGAAATCCCCAGCCTTGGCTGCAGCCAATACCCAATGCTTCCAAGTAGGATGAACCACCACTCACTGTGCCCACTGGACCCCACAACACAAGTAACAACAGGAGGAGAAAAAAAATTCCTTCACAGCTTCATACAGTCACCAGCAAAGCCCAGAAGCATGGAAAAAACCCATAGCAGAGCACAGGCATACTACTGCTAGATCATCCCTGACCACTACTTATCCAACCTCTTCCCGATCACCTCCAGTGATGGAGAATCCACAACTTCCCTAGGCAGTCTAGTCCACTGCCTTGCCAATCTAACAGCGAAGAAGTTTTTCCTGGTATCTAATCTAAACCTACTTTGCTGGAAGTTCAAGCCACTGGTCTGCGTTCTGCTCTCTGCAGCAAAGAGAGCAAAGGTGTTCTCCCTCTTCTTTATGGCAGTCCTTCAACTATCTGAACAGTGATAAATCAATAATAAATCACATCTTTAGCACTACTCCACAAAAATCAAGTTTGGGGAATTTAGGATGCAGTGGTCTAAAGATGAGTCAATGCAAATTCAAAAAAAAGAAGAAAAACTTTACCACCTTTTTAGTGTGCCACGCTTAAATGTGATCTTCCTCTGCCCAATGAAGCCATTAAATGTTCTTTCCATCACTGTAGTGGTAAAGAGAAAGTCTCCAATACACACTAAATGTTTAAGGGATTTTTGTAAAGCGAACAAAGCTTGCATTAGAAAAACTACTCGTTTCCTCCACAGATTTTAGGAAAAAGGGAAAAAAGAAAACAGTTCAAATAAAAGCTCAACATGGCTTACCTCTGAGGCTCTGTCCCCAAACTGAGCTAGTACTTTGGTCCTGTAATCAGGAATGATGCTCAAAGGATTGTTGGATAATACCACCTTCTCTAGGCATGGAAGGCTTCCTATATTCCTTATTTCATCAATCTGAAAATGTATGCATATACATACAAGTGTCAAATCAGAAGTCTTTGAAAGCAATTGTATACATTGTATATAGACTGAAGTATTTCTTGTAAAAACTACATTAATGATAAAAGTAGAAAAGCCTGTTATGTGTATTGTCATTTATTTCATATTCCATTGAAGACAACAGCTCATAACTAAAAACTCAAGTTCTTAAAATGAAACTAATTGCAACAATGAAGCTAAGCAGGTACCTGTTCTATTTTGTTGTTACTAAGATCCAAGTTGACGAGAGAGTATAGTTTGTTAAGACCACATAGACTTTCCAGGAGGTTTCCTGCTAAATTCAAAGTTTTGATGTTTCCAAGTTTTATATGAACACCTTCTAATGATATAAGCTTGTTGTAGGACAGGTCCAGATGAACAAGGTTGTAGAGATGCTACAAAGGAAAATAATAGCAACATGATATGCCAGTTAAGTAAGATTAAAATACGCCTTGCATAAATCTTGGCCAAGAGCCTTAGCATAGTGTTTTATACTGCACTGTAGCCAGTACCCTTAAAACACGTCAAGGAATTAGTTATCCTTAGAGGGCTAAGTGGAAAAGAAGAAATCATTCTGGTTCAGTTTTAAAGACCCATAACTGTATAGCTTCTAGCTGGCAGCAAAAGGCACAGCAGTGAAGTACTATAAAACCCATATTTAAAAAAGTGATCGTAGATAAAACAAAAACAACTTTGAAGTACTTCATGTTATGCTGGTACCCTCCAGCAGAGCACAATAGGAAGGTGGTTATCCCATCAGCATTTCACTTCCCACCCTCTAAAGTCCAGAAATGGCTCCCTCTGTGACATGCACCTAGTTCTATTGTCTTGGGATCAGACTCTGCCCTGCAGCCTTCACTTAGCAAGCTGACTTCACCATTTTAGAGCTAGACATGCCATGACCATCATTTTCTGGACAGCCACCATTGGTTTCTCAAGTGCTACCCAGGCCTTGCAGCAGGTATGCAAGACACAGGCTGAAGCAAACTGTGTCAGCTACTGCTGGTAGCAGCCAGGTGCACCGCCCCAGATGCCTTTCTTTCATGCTTTGAGGTACCTCAAAGCAGATTTCTGTTTCAACACCTGCCTAGATAGTAGCTGAACAGCTCCTTCCTGACAGTTTCCAGTGCAGGGGTTGGTTCATAAATCATGGCAGGAGCAGGTAGACAAGATCTCCAAGCAGCAGTTTCAGGGACAGCCACCCCTTCCAGTCCTGTACTGGGAGCGCTACGAGCAAACACTTCCAACATCATGAGGGAAACTTGGAGATCCCAGACCTTGCCAAACCATCTTGTAATCATGTGGGTGAGCGGTCCATTGTGGTCTATGACGCCATGCAGTCCCACAGAGAAGAAGCCACAGCAGTTGATGTACTCTGAGCCATAGTGCATCAGGTACAAGGTAAGAACATGCATGCCCAACAGCCCCAATGAGCTCGGAATTTCATTTTGGCAAAATCCTGCTTTGACCTCCTGGGGGTTGGTGAAGCAGAGATACTAGCACCTTGTGGATGATGTGTGGTATACCTCCCAAACAGTTGATCTGGCTGTAGATTCACCCATGCCTAACAGGTTTGCAACATACAAGATGCTTTTGGGGCTTGCCAATTTTCAGATAGCAATTGCCACACACTTTGATGATCATGGACCCTTTCATGTTAGTGGACTGCCCCTGGAGTGACATAGCCAGGTCAGCAGAGATCTCCGGAAAGGTGATCAAGGTCATGGTGGGAGCTTGTCTCCCACTGTCCTGAAGAACACAGGATGGGAAACAAATGGGGAAGCAGCACTGGACCCCAGGGATAAAGATGGTCTGGGAAGAGCCAATAGAGTCTACGACCTTTAGGAGAGAGTCCCAGCAGCATCAAGGAAGCAGAAGCCAAACCCAATGCTGCTCAAGCCACACTTTAAGAGCATGTGCTGGGTTCACGTGAGTGGGCATCCAGCCACTTCTGGTATAACCAGAAGCCCCACGCCGGCCCCAACAGAAAGCCAGCACGCCAGGTAAAGCTGGCAGCCAGCTGAGAGCCAGCATGCTGGAGAAACCTGGCACACTGGGGAGAGCCAGCATCTAGCCAAGAGCCAGAAGGCCAGGAAAGCTGGCATGCCAGGGAAAGCCGGCACCTTGCTAAAGACAGCTGGCTTGGAGGCAAAGATTGGCTGAGTTTAAAGAGCCAGCCACAGAGGGAGAGCCAAAGGAAACTTTCGGAAGTCTGGACATTCAAAGGAGTATCTAGCAACGGGGGCACAGGAACGAGATCCCCAGACAGAGACAAGCAGATGGCAGAGGTACAAGAATGGCGAAAGAGTCTCAAGTTCCTGAGTGAGGGTGCCCAAAAGGTAAAAACAGAAGGGCAATGCACGGGTGTGGAGACAGAAAAGTGTCATCGGTCATCAGTGAAGCCCCAATTGGCTGGGAGAGAGACTTTCACACCTGTAAGTGTTCTATGCTACTCCGTGTAGTATACAGTCATCCTAAAATTCTGCAGCAGCTTGTTATTCCAAGACCTCAGGTCTATACATTCCCACCAGCTGGCACTTGCAGTCTAGCAGCTGGCAATGAACAGTCGGCAGATGGCTCTTTTATAGTCTTATTTCTTCCTTCTCTAGCATGTAGCTTTCAAAAGCACAAAGTACATATGGTAAAGTGTCTTTTAGCGCCAAGATCAGGGCAGGCGATTATTTTGGCTGGAGGGGTGAGCTGTCGAGGGCTGCATGGGTAGCCCCACCCCTTGACAACTGCCCTGCCCCCTGATCGCTATATTGGGACTGGAAGTCCTACCCTCCTAGCTTCTGACCCCCTAACTGGAAGTCCCTCCCCTTGCCCCCCAGAAATCCTCCTTTTGGAAAGGCGGGTTGCCATCTTAGAACCAGAAAAAAAACAAATCATACACTAAAAGTCAAACACCTACTAAAACATATTGTAATTTTATTACAAAAAATAGTTGTCATGATTTGTGTCTGTGTGCTGCATTTAAAGGATTGTATAATGTTATGCATAATAACTCAAAAATAAAGTCTTGCTCTTAGATTGTGTGGGAGGGATGTGGGGGTGAGTGTATGGTGGGGTGTATGGGGGGTTGTGAGGGGGAGTGACTCTGTGTGCAGGTGACATAGGGTATGTTGGAGTGTGTGTATGTTGGTGGGGGTTGTGGGGGCAGGGTGTGGGGTGTGGTGATGCCCCCACTCCAGGAAGTCCCCACTGCTGGCAGCACCAGCAGGCAGTGGGGCTCAGGGAGCTCATGCCAGATGTATGGCAGGGTAAGGCTCTGGAGAGCGCTGCACGTGGGGGGAGGAGCGCAGCCTGCCTGGCCACCTCTATCATGGGGACTCCACTCCATGCACCTGTAGCTCCCACACTTGCATGGGGGAAGCTCCATGTTGGACTCCATGGGGAAGCCGGTGGTGGGATTCCCTCCACTCCTGGTCCATGAACCTGCGCGGCACGGGGCGGGGAAGGCAGCCAGCTTCAGTGTGTGGCTTCCCCCACTGCGAGTGCAGGAACTTTAGGCATGCTGCTACAGAGGCGGAAGCTGGGAACCACAGGGGCTGGGCTGGCTTCTGCCATGTTCTGTGGTCTCAGCATTGCAGCCAGGAATCAAGCAGCACGGCATGGAGCCAGTCAGCCCAGCCGGGCACCTCCTGGCTGCCTGATGTTCCTGGCTGCAATGCTGGAACCACAGAACTTGGCAGGAGACAGCTGGCCTCTGCGGTTCCCAGCTGGCTCCTGCTGCCACCAGCTCTGATCCCTGGGGACCCGCACTCCCACCATGTGCCACCTCCTCTCCTCCATCCCCACGCCTGCTGCCACTGCCTTTTCCCTGACGCTGTCCTTCCATCCCTACCCACTGCCAATGCTGCCCCCGGCCTGCTGCTCCCCACCCACAGCTCCAGCACCATGTGGTTCAGTTGCAGGGCCAGGACTGCACAGCACAGCAGGAGCCAGCCCAGCCCAGCTGGCACCATGCAGTTGCCATCTGAGTACCACCTAGTGCTGGCTGAGCACGGCTGGCTCCTGCCGTGCTGGCGATCCTCCCCCACCTCCGCCTGTTCGTACCCGTTTCCCTCTTGGGTGAAGGGAGGTGGGGACCAGCCCCAGGGTCCCAGGCCAGAAACCTTTACTAAGGTAGAAGCTGGGGTGGGGCAGGGCCAGTGGGCCTTGCTGCTGCTGCTGATTCCTGTCATCTTTGAAGGCAGTCAGGGCAAGATTAATATTATTTTTAAAATTTTTTTATGGGCCCTGAGGGCCTGATGGCCATATTTTACCTGCCCCTGGCCAAAATCATGGAGCTTTACACTTCCATGTTGCAGCACATCAGCTGGAAGAAGTGCTCAAACAGGATGGAAAGCATGGCCAGGGAAGCAAAGACACTCACTCTGCCACAAGCAGAACACAGCTCCATGAGAAGCTCATGGTCCTGCTCCATGAGAAGCTGGAAGGCAAGGAACCAGAGATGTCCATTCTCTGCTCCCACTGAGATTGCAATGCATGCTGACCAGCCCTGCAACATCAAGAAGCACCAAACAGAAGCCTAGGGTCATCTACCTACTCTGCTGTTGCCACTCAGCCATGAATCCCCCCACTTGGAGGCTTTTGAGAACAGCTGAGAGACATGCTGAGATGCCTGCTCACCTGGCACCTAACTCTGAAGTGGTATAATAGCATTGGTTCTGGCACACTGAAAAGTGCTTCAGCCTGTATGTTTGTGTGAGAGTAAACCACTCCAAATTAGAGAAGGATTTGAAGTGCTGTCCATGCCCAAAGACAAAGTACTACTGACCCTGGAAGGCTGTGTAAGCATTGGTGTAGCAAGGAAAAACAATATGAGAAGGGAAAATGGAGGGTGAGAGGAGCATACAGCTATGTACAGATACGAAGGGCACATAACCCATGATTTAAATGTGTCATCATGTAACAAACTCTACCATTAATCCACATTTTGTAACAAAGGCAATGAGCACCAGAGCCTGAACTAAACAGTTCTGTGTTCTCAAATGCCAAAGAGTTTGGAAAATAAATCCACCTTCAGAAGTAGCACTAACCTGTAAATTTTCTACCAGTGACACACCATTGTGACTCAGATCTAAAAATTCAATCTTCGGAATTAGTTTCTGGAAAAAAAAAATATTTATGAAGTAAAATGTCCCTTATTTTCTGTCAATTTACCCATATTTCCCAGACATCCGGTTGATTAACGACTGAGGCAAGTACATGCTGACACCTAGCCCCCAAAAAATTATGCAAAAAAGAGGCATCTTAGTTTTGTAAAAACTGACTTTACTTTGAGAAACTAAACCAAGTTCTACTTTGAAATCCTGACTTCTCACTCAGAAGTAGTGTGCAACACCCAATTTAGTAATTCAAGATGTTTCACCTTAATAGGGATATACACAGCAACCCAGATAATGCTAAAATAGCAAGAGTCCGATCAACTTGAGTGCCTTGTCAAGTAATCAAAACATTCTACAAGTAGTATCAAGTAATTCTAAAACTTTAAGGAAACATTTTCACTATAACCTCAGGATCCTACATACACTCTTATCCTCAACCAATTAATGCCAGAGCATTCATTGCCAACTCACTGATTCGGTGTTACAGTGCCTGCATTATGTACCTTTGTCTTGGTTATAATGTTTAGAAATACAGACAGTCAGAAAGAAGGGAGGGAAAAACGTCTGGACTCAAACCTGTAAAATCAATACTCAGTATTGATCTGTAAGTTGTAAAAGCAGCAATTTTGCAAAGGAAGCAATGTCTTAACTGAGTTTTACCAATGCTACCTTCACGTTCTGAAGCTTTTTCCTTATGTAGCATGTTGGGGTCCCAGGGGCAGATGTGATACCCCCTGGTGACTCTGCAACCATGCCCTGCTCTGCTTCTAGGGTGCCTTTCCTTCTGTCTAGCCAACTACACCTTGATGTAATAACAGAATTGCCCACTAGCCTTAGCATGGGCCCCAGTCCAGCTGAATTCCCACTGGGGTTCTCTGGCACTCTACTGCCCTCACTTACACTACTCCCAGGGCCCTTGCTGGGTCTCACTACACCCCAGCCCCTCACTAGCTCTCTCCTGACTGTACCACTGTAGGGCACCTATAGCCTTAAAGACTAATTGTGTGGCTCTGTTCCTCCCTATACCATGCTCCAAGCCTCATGGGTGTTGCTGTACTGTTACTCCCCTGTTGAGGCTTCAGCTTCCTCAGCTGCTGCCCTTTTCCTCTTAGATAGAGCTTCTAACCTGAGCCCATTGTATTGGACCTGGCTTTAAGGCACTAGCTCTGGTCTAGCCCTTTTGGGCACCAGGCCCCTAGCCCGTACCTGGCTGTGCCTTTCTTGGGTGCTGGGCCCCTAGCCCCTGCCTGCTGGACCCATGGCTCCTGTCTGGCTGTGCCCCTCTTGGCTGCTGGGTCCCTGTCCCCCATCTGACTTTGTAGCCTCATGCTTTGCCCTGTTCTGTGATCAGCACTCGCTCAGGCCTCGAGCCTGCCCCTAGCAGAGCTCAAAGCGATTGTATATCCCCAGGGCACTAATGGGACCTCCATATATTGCCCCTTACAGTCCCAACACAAAACACTGGTACTAAACTGCAACTCAAACAATAAGCCCACAGGCTATAACATAAACAGTCCCTTTCAGGCCCACCAATATTGGCACGCAAGGAGAAATAGCCTTCTGCCCCTTTAAGAGGGAAACCCTTCCCTCATTTCTTGTGGCAGCACAACTTCCCAGCTCCGGGATTATATCCCTGAGGCCCCAAAGCCGCACTGGGGATCCACAGGCAGCACAGCAGTCTATCTAGTGTCTCCTGATAGCTTTCCTGGCCAGAAGCTCCTACCCTGTGGCTTGCAGAGCTAGACTAACTTGATAGCTCAGGCCCTGGGCTTATATGCTTCCCAGGGCCTTGCCTTCTTCTGATCAGAAGACTACCCTGGGCTGCCTGCAAGTGTCTGCTAACTGGCTTTACTGCCCAGCTGCTATGGTGACCTGCAGTCACTGTGCCCCACCTGGCCTGCAGTGCTCCCTCTCTGGGCTGCTTCTTTCTCCCAGAGTCTGTTACACCCTATTTTAATGGTGTTACCTATGTTGCCAACCCATCTGTCATTAAACATCAGCAAAAAGTTTTTTAACTCAGAGTTTCAACTTAGAGAACAAGGTCTAGCCTGGAAGGGAATTCTGGTTTTCTTATAATAAGTTTAAGACTAAAGCTAGCTTGAACAGTTTCAGAATGGACCTTTTCAGTAATTCATTCACCCACATTTTGCAGACATTTTGTTTGGAAGTTGTAGCAGAATCAGGGCTATAGAGGTGGCTGTGATGCCTCCTGGTAGCCATGTGGCTCATGCCCTGCTCCGAGGAGCTCCTAAAGTGCCCTCTCTCTTTCCTCATCTGTCATGCCTTTGATGGAACAACTGGAATATGAATAGGGAGGCTGTTCTCAGGGCCCCTGAGTGAACTGTGAAGTCCAGAGGCCAGCAGATCCTTCCCAAACCCTGCTACACATAGCCTTATCCCTCAAATCCAGTGGGCCCTCCTGGTCCATTCTTGCTCCCAGGACACTTGTTGCCTTATGGGCAATTCATGGCCTCCAACCTCCCCTGGAGCCAGGCCCATGCCTTACAGGTGTTCCCAATCATTACTTAGGTGGGCACTTTGCCCTCCAAATCACCAGGCCACCTTCACCGTCTCTGTAGCCCTTTGCTTCTGTGCTGCCTAGATGCTTACCCTGGCATAGTGTACTACTCTGCAGCTCCTTCCTTTCCTACTTCTCCTAGAAAAACCCTCTTCTGTGTGGCTACTACTCTCCTCCTTTTCTGGTAGGCAGCCCCCTCCCTAGTAGTTATCCTGCTTTCAAGCTGCCAGGCTCATGCAGCCAGCTCAGCCTGCTACAGTTTCCTCTTAAAAGTAACATGAGAGCTTTGGCTTGTTACAGAAACAAAAATATTTATGTAGTCTGACTAGTCTGAAACTGCACTGCTCCAAAATATATTTTTAGTAGTTTATTCTTTAAATTGGCAATCTACAATATTCAGTAAAAGGAAAACACAATTGCAAAGGAAAACCCTCTAAAAGTGATTTTTTTAAAAGCCCAGTTGATTAGTATTCCATGGTGTGCTAGCTGTAGATTTTTTTCCAAACATGAAAAAAGTCTTGCCAATTGATCCAAGAATTCTTACCACTGAATCATCGATCTGAGAGATACCATTGTGACTCATATCTAAAGTTGTTAAAGACCTCCAAGTTGGAATAATGGCTGTTACTGGACCACTTGAAAGTGCACCCTCTGGCTCCCAATGGTCAAATTCAGAAGCTTCAGGCACTAGGATTTCCTGTTTAAGACAGACATTGAAGAACAATATTAAAATCAGTAAATATATTTTCTTGCATGAAACTGACAGTTTTCAGAATGAAGTCTCACAACAATAATCTAGGGAGTCTTTGCAAATGGTGAAATTAACAGTCACTCCAGATTTTAAATTCAAGTTTGGAAGCTCTGAGAACTAAGCTTCAAAAGCAGTACAAGCTCAAACAGAGAATCTGCAGAATACTAAGATTATTAAGATAACTACAGTTGCCATAAGTCAGGCTCCTAGCAAACATTATTTCCACCAAGCAACTGGTAATGTTGCTTGATAGGAAGTGGGGACTTTAGTTAGTACTTGTGAGGTACTAAGAAAAAGTGAATTAACTGAAGAGCATGGGGCGTGGCTAAACACACGTGTGGAATGCCAACGTGTTGGAGCAGCCTCAACTAATTGAGTCTGCTGTAGTGTGTCAATTACTGTGCTCCAGGAGCCTCCTGAGTCTGGTGCATCAGCATCCCTGTGCTTAAAAAAATGGTGACAGGGGTGCTTGAACTAAAGCTTGTTCAATGAGCAAGCTCTCCCACCATTTTTAAGTGCAGAGACACTGCACAAGATGTGGCAGTGCTTTAATTAGAGCAGCTCTCAGAGCCCACTCCAATTTAAGCACACCCCCAACCCCCAGAGCACAAGTAAAAGTGCCCACTGTTTTTAAAGTGATGCTTAAGATGCGTTAGCCTATTTTAATGTGCATTAACTACATACCACTTTTTTTTAGTGACGCTTCAACATGCAATAAAATAGGCTAATGCATGTTAAAGTGCACGTGTAGATGAGTCCACTCTCATGTTATGTCACCAGCTTCATGTTTACAGGGCAAACTATCCAGAGAGGAAAAGAGTGCCCTGGGGCCTTGCTCTGCCAGCACTTGCCACGAAGGAGAACTGAAGAGCTGCTGGCAGAGGCTGTCATCCACTCCCCGACATATCTTCAGTTAATGAGAAGTGAGTTCTGAGCTTCCCCTGGGTGAAGGAGCTGCTTCCCTCCCTTGGCTGGTTGGGGAAAAGGGTGGAAGAGGGCCATCGAGTCATGGCATCTCTTGTTGAGGCACTCTGGGGCAGCAAATTTCAGCATGAATCACAGAAATCCCATTGTAGGAAGGGAGGATGGGACAGAGAGCTTGGGATGCTGGCCAAATACTATCACCTGATGTTTGACATGTCACACACTCAAATTAAAGCTTCATAGAAACCAGCTACAAAAATGCTCTACACTTTTTAAGCAACATCTTTGTGGCTGATTGGCCATTTTTATTTTATGATAATTACTTTGCATATGTAGCCTGTCTAAATTTATTGTGCAATCGACCAATTAACTGCACAATAAATGTAACGTGTGTCAATTAATCAGCATGCAAGAAACTGATAACCAAGAAATAAGTTCACAGTCACAAGTAAGTAACTGGTATACTACTGTACTTCATTAAACTGTAAGAGATTTTTAAATACTTGTTCATAAAGAAAGATTAAAGACTCAAAACAGAAACAATAACACTTCCTTCATATTTTAAGTGACATTAAATGACAAATTCCATAGCACCTTTCTATCATAGGTCTTTAATAGCAGAATGTAAATCAACAGAAGAATATCTTGCATTCAAAAGCTTATCTAACTTTCCCAACTGTGCAGTTAGTCCAATAAAAATAGCAGTCTAGGAAATCCTTGCTTCTCTAAGAAAATTAAAGGCACGATTTCAGATACATGCCTGCAACTGAAAGTTTATTTTTGAGCTTTTTTTAAACAACTGCCAGCTTATAAAAAATAAATATCTTACTTTCATTGATGTTGCTGAAAATCGAACGCTCATGGTGGCTAGAGTGTGCTTTGATGAAGTCAGCCCTTTAATAAGCTTTGCACCACAGTGACTTATCTGGTTAGGAAGAAAAATACAGGCTTACAAAACACGTAACAAATACAGTGGTATTAGAATTGGTATTAAGTGCCAAAAATGATGCTGGTACCAGCTCATATATCAGTTTCTTAATTAAATAAAACTATGGAAAGCATTTACAACATTCTTCTAAAATCGCTCTTCCATAAAATATGGATAAATGCTAGGATCAATTAGGTCAGAAATGCCTAAACTTGGACAGGCCAAATCAAAACACTGGGATGAATAAACAAAGCAGCAAAATTCAAAGAGTTTTTTTTAAACAAAACTGCCCGTTACCAAAAAATGAAAAAAATATTTTAAAAATCCTCTAATCATGAAGCTACCCAGACAGTTTAACTGAACTTAAAATTTCACTCTCACCTAAAAAAGACCTCATAATTATATTAAGACTTACATATAAACAAGTTTACTAGATTATACCATCAAACCTTGTGCAGTCTCGACATTGAAAAAGTTAAAGGCTGTAGAAGAAACTACACTGAACATTGTATTTCTTAGTCCATTAATCATATGGGATTGCTTAAAGCAGAGGTTTCAGACTCTTCTGGCCTTGCGTGCCAGATGAATGCTGATGGGCCAGTAAATGGGCTGGATCAGGCCCACGGACCCTCCCCCTCTCCCACATACCTGATCTAGTACAGGGAGCACCCACCTGAGCTTGTCCTGGTGAGTAGCACAGATCAGGACCTGGCCCCAGAGGGTTGCCCCGCTGGGGCCAGTCCTGGGCTGCACCACCTGCACTGCACAATGGGGCTGGGTCCAAGGCTGAGCCTCTCACTGGGGTAGGGTCCTGGGCTGCATCACCCACTGAGGTGCAGCAATGCCACCAGGGACTCAGCCCCAGCAGGCAATACAGCCCAGGACCCAACCCCAGTGGGTTGCCGTACTCACTGGCAGTTTTGAGCTGCACCACCAACACCACTTACTAGGACCACATCCTGGGCACTACCACCTACACTACTCACTGAGGTACAGGCAGTGCAGTGCAGCCAGGGTCTGGCAGCAAGAGGCATAGGTAGCGCAGCCTCGGATTGGCCTCAGTGAGCAGCATGCCCGGGACCTGGCCTGAACAAGCACTGCAGGTGGTGGTACACTTCCTTGGCACTGTGCAGGGGGCTGGTATGGCACAGCAAAGGGGGTTGGCACCAGGGGCTAGAGCATAGAACTCTGTGCCCTGCATCCAGACCAAGGGCCACACATTTGACACCTCTGGCTTAAAGCATAGAGAAACGTTTATGTTCAAATCAAAGTTCCAGTTTTCTTTATTTTAATACTGGCTGAAGGTCAGTGCCAGAGGTTCTCAGGAGCTTCAATCCAGTTAGCTCCTACCAAAAAGGAGTTAAAAAAATCACAAGATAAACACCACAACTGACACCCTTTCTAACAGCGAAGCTTTCTAGCTGCCAAGAAGGATTAAACAGGCATACAAACTGAACTCCTTCCAAGCTTAAAAACAGGCCTTCCCAATCATGGCCAATATATTAGTGGAGAAATATACTGATACTTCTTTACAAAAGTACATTCCATAAACAATTATAAGAGCTCTTTTAGACTGGAAACAACCACAGTGCTGTTTGATTTTTTTTTATTTTTTTTTACACAAATATACAGGCTAAAATTGTATTCTAAATTTTAAGATCTTTTATGTAGAAGGCATGAGATTAACTGTTCTACATATCTAGTCTAGCATCCATCTTCTTCTTAATGAAAGTTACTGTATAATTTATTAGACATTAAATATGAAAAGAACTTCACAAGTTATGTCTAGGATTCAAGTAGATGACAGTTAACTAATCTGACTGATATACAGCAGGCTGCAATAATGTCATGGTAAATTCAATATTTGCATAGTTTTATAAAGTTAATGAGCAAGCAGTTTCTCAAACTTACCTCTATTTGATGAAGAGATTTAAAAATTGAAAGATCAAAAGGTAACAAACTATCATGAATGTTGCTGTTCCCAAAAGGTCCCTCTGTGCCAGTCACCTAATAGTTAAGAAAGACAGAATTAATGTTCATCGTCTTTGCAACATATCTTTTTCAAGGTGCAATCAACTTAAAGAGTAACTAACTATGGGTGCACTGATGAAGCTTTTTTGGGGTTGATACCGATGGCCAATTATTAACAAGCCATATCAGCTAATACCAATCGGACTGCTGATACGCAGGCCAGAAGCTTGGAGAGCAGTGTCCAGCTGGTAAGCCTGTTGGGGAGTGCTCGGAGTGGACAGTGGCAGAGATGGCGTGGTAGAGGGCTATGGGGTAGGCTGCGGCCACCCCAGAAATTGCTGTAGGCCCCCCCCATAGCCCTCCTCCCAGTGCTGCTGCCGCCCACTCTGAATGCAGCCCTGGCCCAACCCCCTTCCCCCTCTGCTACGAAGAGTCCAGCACCGCCCCTGACTTCAGCCAGCAGCAGCAGCCCACCATCACCCCATGCACAGATCCAGGAGGCACACCCCACCATGGGTCCCCTGGGAGTGTGTGTAGCAGTGAGATCCAACCCCCCTCCTCGCGTCCCCTGGACGAGCCTCTTGTGGCTCTGACCCATGACCCACCCTGCTCAGCCCTGGCCCCACTCCCTCACTCACCACAGGGGCCTCGATCTGCCACCCCACATGCCCCTTCACCCCAACAGACTTACCAGCCAGATGCTGCTTTCCAGGCTGCTGGGCTAGCCACATGCATGCTGTGGCTGCGCAAATGCACAGCATTTATTGGAGACAGTGTCAGCCACATCAGGCAAAAAAAAGCTGATTGCCAATAATGTTGATTTTCCTTCTATCAGTGCTGATACAATATGGACCAATGCATTGGTGCACTTCTATAACTAACCTAGATATCTAGCTGAAATAACAAACTTGGTGGGACTTAGTGGCAGCTTATAAGAATACTAGGGGCGCACATCAGGGCCTGGGGGAGCAGCTGTTCACCCAGGCCCCCCAGGGGAGGACAAGAAACAATGGGCACAAACTGACTGAAGATCACTTCAGACTGGACATAAGGAAAAGCTTCTTTACAAGTCGAGTGCCGAGGGTTTGGAACAGGCTCTCCGCAGAGGTGGCTGTCATCCACCCTGGCAATCTTCAAAAAGCATCGTGATGCCCACCTTGCTGAAGTCATCTGACCCCAACAGTCTTTTCTAGGCAAGTGCATGGAGGCTGAACCCGATGATCTGTAAGGTTCCTTTCAGCCCCTAACATCAATAAAACTTTAGCATTTATATCAGTGGTAGGCAAAATATAGCCTGTGGACGAGGTGCAGTCTGCCATGGATTCTATCCAGCCTGCAGTGGGTCCCTTGGCCCCACCCAGCCCACGCACGGGAGGCAGCACACGCAGCTGGTCCCACTGCTCCCAAGTGCACAGCAGGGCTGAGGTACTGAGGCAGCCAGACTCTCCTTTCCCGCAGCCCCCATAGTGACAGCTCCTTCCAGCTGCTGTTGCTAGTACTGCTGCTGCTGCCAGTGTCACGGACACCAATGGACTTGGCCCCACTGCCCAGGCATCCCAACCCATCCACCCTGCCAGGGATGCCAGATGGAGCAGACAGGCAGGGCCTCCATGGAGACTGGACAGGGCACTCTCAGCCAGGTGGATGGGGTGGGGCTACAGGCGGGCAGAGAGCAGACTCTGGGAGAGAAACAGACAGGCACGTGGGCAGGGCAATAACAGCACAGGGCCAGGGCCTGGGGCAGAGCCATGATCAGCTGCCCATATGTCCTTGCAATGGGAGCCAGTTCCATGGGCAAGGGTGTGCCGGGAGTAGAATGTGGCTCTGCCCTGGGACTCAGCCCTGTACTGTCACTGCCCCACAATCCACATCTACCCATCCTGCTCTCAGATACCACTCCCTGCGGTCCCATCCCATCCACCCAGCTGAGCATACCCTGTCCACAGATGTCCTGGGCCAGTCTCCATGGAGACTCCAGGGCCAGGGCTGGTATCGCGGTGTGGTGACAACGCAGAGCTGGGGTCTAGAGCAGAGCCACTTAGGGAGTTTTGGTGTGCCACGCTGACCTGGCCTGGAACAGCTCACCAAAACTCCCCAAATGGCCCTCCAGCCCAAATAACTGATCACCCCCTTAGTTAGATCCTGTTTTACAATTCAATACTTAGGTTTAATATTTAGCTGCAATTAGGGCAGAGTAAGGTTAAACAGGTCAATCCATAAGTTCAAGGTTTCTAATCTAAGGGAATCCATAAATAACGCCCTCACAAAAAAGAGCAAACTAAATTGTTAACAGTTTAAAAAAATGCAGGTAAAAGTCCAGCAGCAGCGTGGGGTCTATCCAGCTTATTGTACCAAGTACAGCATATATGATTATCTCCTTTGGGGGCATGTTTCATATATGTGCACCTGGTGCAAGCAGTTCCTGTTCACAGATGAGGCTTTCAGGGACACTGCAGTTCCACCTCCCTTGCAGCAACCACCCCCTACCCACCCCCGTCGCTGAGAAGGATGAAAGCCTCGGAGATGGATGGCATTAAGATAGGAAGAAAAGAAACTCTCTCTTAGATGGAACCCACTTTCCTGTTGATGTCATAATGTCCCCTTGCGGCAACGGTACTCCTCCATGGAAGGGGACCCCACAGGATAGAAAGAAGCAGGTGGCTGTAGTGGGGAATTTGATCTTTAGGCACAGAGACAGCTGTGTTTATGATATCCAAGAGGACTGCATGGTGACTTGCCTGCTGGATGCAAAAGTAGCATCTCTCACAAAATGTGTAGATAGTTTAATAGATTCATAGATTGTTAGAGGCTGGAGGGGACCTTGCAAGATCATCAGGTCCAGCCCCCCCCCCCCCCGGCACTAGGCAGGAAAGACAACTGGGGGTCAGGTGACCCCATCGAGGTGACTGTTCAGTCTCCTCTTGAAAATTTCCAGGGTAGGTGACTACACCATCTCTGGAGGGAGTTTGTTCCCCAATCTAGACACCCTGACTATGAAGGAGTTTTTCCTAGAATTGAGCTTGAAGCAGTCTTCCAGAAGTTTGTATCCATTACTCCTGGTCTTCCCCAAGGGTGCTCAGCTGTTCACCGAGCTCTTGATGTACTCCCCTGATGTAGTGGTAAGCTGCTACCAAGTCCCCCCTCAGCCTTAGGCTACTAGTGGGCACTGGGGAAGAGCCTATGGTCCATGTGGATACCGACAATGTAGAAGAGAGATCCTGGAAGCTAAATTTAGGCTGCTAGACAGGAGGTTAAAGAGCAGAACCACCTGGCAGAATTCTCAGAAATATTTTCCATTCTATTGACAGGGCCAGAGACAGGCAGAGCTCCAGAGTCTCAATGCATGGATGAAATGATGGTATAGGGAGGAGGGGCTTAGGTTTATCAGGAACTGGGGGACTTTCTGAGACAGGAGGAATCTGTATAGAAAACAATGGACTCTGCCTGAACCAGAATAGAACCAGACTGCTGGCATTAAAAATTAAGAAGGTTGTAGAGCAGTTGTTAAACTAAAAAGTGGAAGAAAGCTGATGAGTGCAGAAGAATACATAGGTTGGGTTAATGCAACCCCAAAGGTTTCTATACTGTCTTGAAGAGGACAGTAGGAGAGTAGGAAATATAAATCTAGATAAGAGGGAGGATAAGTCAGAACATCTAGAGGTCCAACCAAGTAGCGTGAAGAGTAAAAGGCAGTAACAACAAAATTTATAAGCGTCTCCATGCAAACACCAGAAGCCTAAAATATTGGACGTGTGAACTAAAATGCCTGGTATTAAATGGTGATTTGACATAATAGACTTGGTGGAATAAAAGATAATCGATGGAATACTGTTCTAACAGGTTGCAAACTATATAGGAATGACGCAGTAGGATGTGCAGGTAGAAAAGTGGCACTGTATGCTAAGGACAGTATAGATAGTAAAAAAGCATTCATTTAATCTGAAAGGAAAACTACCATAGAATCCCTATGAGTAGAAATTCCATACTTGAAAAAAAAGAAAATAGTACTAGAATTGTACTACTGACCACCTGATCAGGAAGGTAAAGGTGATTATGAAATGATCAGGGGGAGTAGAGAAACTGCTAAAACAGGACAAGCCCTAATAATGGGAGACTTCAGCTATCCTCACACAGACTGGGTAAACACCTCACTGGAGTGAAATATGGAAGTAAAATGGATGTGATAAATGACTGCTTTCCTTCCATAATTCATCTAAAGGATCAGTCAAAAATGTAAAAAGTCTGCAAGCAGCTTGGAAGCTGTTTAAAAATACCATATTAGAGGCTCCGGAAAAGTGTACGTCACAAATCAAAAAGGGTACCAAAACAGATCAACAAAATCCCTGTATGATTTAAAAGCAGAGTTAAAAAGAATATTCAAGGCAAAAAGGTATCTTCAAAAAATGGAAAGTGTGCCCAAATCAGGAAGCTCACAAACTCTGGCAGGTCAAGTGAAAGTGAAACAAGGCAGGCCAAAAGAGAATTTGATGAGCATCTAACAAAAGATGCTAAAGCTAATAATAAAAACTTTAAAAAATATATCAGAAGCACAAAGCCAGCTAGAGAATCAGTGTAGAAAGTGTGCTCAGGGGCCGTGTCCAGATGAGCGCAGCGTGTGGTATGTGGCACCACAGACATGTCTACGACATGACATACTGCACATTCAGCTGTTCTCCACACTGCAAAGGAGCAGCACAGGGGGAAGGGCGGTGCGGGGGGCACTGACTGGAAATCGGAGCACACAAAAAAAGCAAAGTGGCACATGCAGAGGTAGCGCATGCTGCCCAAAATTGGAGCCTTCCTGCCTGGAGCAATGCTCTAGCTGTCAGTCAGGCTGAGAGGTAGGATTATTGCTGCTGCAGCCCCAGGAGGCCCCCAGGTAAGATTCCCCTACCCCACCCAGGGTAACCTTCCACACCCTAGAAGGCAAGTGGCACAGGCATCCCCCGGGGACAACTAGCAGTGGCACAAAGTGTGCCACTGCTAGTTGTCCCCAGGGAACCAAATGTCCACACTTGTGTGGACACAGCCAAGGATGATAAAGCCATAATAAAATTTTTTGCATGCGTTTACCCCAGAAGACGCTGGGAAAATTCCCAAGCCACATCAATCCTTTCTAGTAGATTGGTCTGAAGAGTTGAACTAAACTGAAGTGACAACAGAGGAAGTTTTATAACAAATTAATAAACTAAGTATTAATAAGTCACCAGGACTAGATCGCATTCACCCGAGAGTTCTAAAGGAACTCTAAAGTAACACTGCACAACTGCTGGCAGTAGCACGCAACCTGTCCTTACAAATGGCTTCTGTGCCAGATGGCTGGTGAGTTTCTAACATAACAACAATCTTCTAAAATGACTCCAGAGCCAATCCTAGGAACTACAGACCACTAAGCCTCATTTCCATCTCTGGCAAAATCAGCTGCCACATGTGGGAAAATCAACATGGTCTTCGTAAAGGGAAAGCCTGCCTCACCAATCTACTCGAGTTCTTTGAGGGTGTTAACAAGCACATGGATAAATGGGATCCAGCTGACATAATATATTTGGACTTTCAAAAAGCTTTTGCCATGGTCTGTCACCAAAAACTTTTTTTAAAATTGTGTTGCCACAGGACTGGAGGTGGTAGAGGCAGATCAAACAACTAGGTTCAAATAGGGCCTGGATAAATTCATGGATGATACATCTATTAATTATTATTGAACAGAATGATAGAAAATGTTTCCTCTGGTATCCCTAAACCTATAATGGTGAATGCCAGGGAGGATAGTGAATAGGGGATAAATCACTCTAGAGATATCTAGTCCAGTGCTCTCCCTATAGCCTCGATTTCTGCCACAGTCAGATACAGGATACTGGGCTAGATGGGCCATTGGTCAGATCCAGTATGGCACTTCTAACGTTTTTATATCTGTTATAACTTACAAAGGATTGAACCAAGTACAATGGCTTAGAAAAGCCTTCCAAAACACCCACCAGGAGTCTCTGAAATGGGCTCTTGTCTATACATTCAGCACTTAAAACAGAAGGAAAATTTCAATGGCCCAAGTCAATCATAGGAAGTAAAGAACAGAATAAGGCTGCCACCTTGTGCTTACATGTTGCAGCAGATCAGAACTGTGGCAAGAACACAGTGGTTGAGAATGATATTTCCACTTTAAGATGACACCCTAAGCTCCCATTCACTAAAAATCAAATTTTCCTAAAATATGTAATCTCTCATCTACCCATATTTTCACCCCCGTGCATGAAGCTGGAAAAGACATTTCCAAGATGCAATTGGAATAAAGTTAACTATTTGTTTGCAAAACTTAAGTAGTGCAAATCCAAAGACTAACTTGGTTTTATAATTGTCCTCAGTTAGCTTCTCTAAGGGTAACAATGCTAAGTGGCTTATTTATAAATACTTGTTATAGAATATTTGGATCTTTGAATTGAAAAGTTTTCAGGATGGCCTCAATTAGACTGCTCAGGTTATTTTAACCTCTGAAGGAACACACACCTGTTTGCCACAAAGAACTAGATCTGGCAAGTTTTAGAAATTTTGGAGATTTAAGATCAAGATTGGATGTTTATTTCAAAAAAATATGGTAGTTCAAATAGGTATTAGATCAGGGAATACCTATTGTCTGTACGGTACAAGAGGTCAAACTAACCAATTGTAATTGTCCTATCTGGCTTCATAACCTGTGAAAAAGCCACTAGGCTAAATAAATCACAGGTAGCTCTGCAGAATGCAAGAGGAAAGACTAAGCTTCACTGGAACAAAACTACATTTAGAATTACATTCCATTTTCTATTAGCTATAGAACCACATTTTTAATTCAAATGCAAAGCCTCTAATGAACCTTCTGCACGCTTCCCAGGCACTTAATTTTGTTGGCTGTGGGATTAAGACCTCTGTAAATGAGAGAAGTCAGTTAAGACCTAGTGAACCTGCTCTTTTGTTATAAAATACCAAGGAAAAAAAGAATCCTGGGGATCACCTTTTTATTCTGTATAACAAAGGAAAACCCTTCCCACTTCACTGGGAAAAGAAATTACAGTAGATCCTAACTGATACTACCAAATTTGGGGACACTGGGAATTTTTACTGTGAAATGTCAGTTTTAAATAGAAACCACCTGCAATCTCAAATGTGGAATTGCTGTTATTTACAATTATAGATCAAATATGATGGAGGAAGAGAAACTGTTAGAAGAGTAAGATATTATGTACTGACCCTTGAACTCCACAGTCCACTGAATTGTGTACACCTCTGACAGCCAATCAAGATTAAGAGATGATTTCATGTCTGGGTGCCTATTTATACAACACCTACAGCAGATTTGATAGGAGGCTGTGTCACAGAGGAAAAATCAGCTTCAGCCTTAGGCCCTTAGCTGTGGTGTTATATTTAGGCAAAATAAAGTGAATAATCTAAACCATAAGCCAGGCCCTCTCTTGACTGCAGAAAGATGAAGTGACATTAACAACAGACTGCAACTATATGCTAGTGTAGGCAAACAAAAACTCCAAAAGTTCATTAAGCATAGCGCTAAAAGCTGCATGAAATAATGCATACAGTATGTACCCAAATATATTTTACCTTTAAATATTTTAGCCTACATGTGAAATCTAGGACATGACCTAGATCTGTTTTGGCATCTCCATTAGCACACGTAGGTTTCCCCTGTCTCAGCTGTTGCGTGATAGCATATAACTGCAATGGTCTAATGCTGAAGACTTCCCCAGCCATTAACAATTGTTCTCCTGAAAAATAAAAGCAGAGTCATGTTAATCACGTAGTTACAGTACTTTAAGAATTCATGCCATGACTAAACCTCTAAGGTCCTCCACTGCTGTGGAGAATATGAGAAGAATGATTTATGTACCCTGATTACCATCAATATTTTTCTAATCTTTGTCATTCCAGTACTGGTATCAAATTGCAGGAAATACCATCACATTGTCAAGATGGCATTTCAGATGCTAGAAAATGATGTGGTGCCTATAGCTATTAAAAAAAATACAGAACTGGAATTGCTAGCTTTTCTTTGCTTCCCCTCAAAGGAAGCAACTTTGGCAAGTGGGACAGAGCAGACATCACCTCATGATTAAGATTTTCAAAATCACTTAGTCAGTAGTAAAGCTCCCTTTGGAGAAGTTAGGCCACTGCTAAGCTTCACTGATAATGCCAACTTATGCAGCAAAGTTTCACACCAAGGCCAGGTTCAGCTTTTGCTATTGTGTACATCAAACTAAGTCTACAGTAACTGTTTCCAATGAACTTTCTGCCTGATAACTACATTTTAAAGAGTTCCACAATTTTCTGAACATTACTTATGAAATGGTTCTTAATTTCATAAGCCCGTGATTCTCAACCGGGGTGCCCCAAGATTCTCTCAAGGGTGATGCAGGGTGCCACACATGTTAGCATTGTTAAGTGTAAAAACATGATTTGTATGCTAAACCCAGAGATTTCAAATAGGAATTCATAGTGTTAGAAACATTTTGACAAGTTGTGGTCTTTCTGAGGTCTTTGTAATAGAAGAACTGCTCTATTAGTTCTGTGTAATCAAAAAACAAGTGAAAATTCAGAGCTGGCATTTTCCAATGGGTGTCTCAAGTCTAAAAATATTGAGAAATGCTATCATAAGCTCTCTATTGCTGAGATCCAGAACAGCTCTATTAATAGCAAAAGTTACCTTACTGTATCAAGGAGAAATGCATTTGTTTTCCAAGTCTCAGAAAAGAATGCTCTGTAACAAGTTGACTAATAATGGTCCAATAATTATATAGCTAAACTATTAAGTTAGAAATACAAAACTCTCTCTCAAATTCTGTGTATACTGCAACACTAGTAACAAGAAAACCTTATGTATACCTCAGAACTTAATAGGAAACATTGGAATGAGTCAAGATATAGAGAAAGCTTTTGACAATGGTGCTCTGCCTTAATCATATAAAAGTTTTGAATGTGACAAAAGTTTCAAGTCCATTCTAACAGCAAAGGAGAACACCCTCGCAGCAATATCTATTTGCTAAACATCAACAGGCAGTTGAATTACTTTCATAGTACTTTTACAAACCAGCACAGTGTCTTAAGATTTGTTTAAAGCAAAACACATCTGCTAAAGTGGAGCAGTCAGTAGAAAAGCTGCCTGGAAGGATGTGAAGAACAGCAAAAAATGAACTAAAGAAAGTGTAATCCATAACATTCAAAGGAAAAAAAAAATCTGTAGGGTGCTGTCTCTAGGCAAATCGCTAAGTCAGGGGTGGGCAAACTGCAGCCCGCAGGCCAGATACAGCCTGCCAGGCCATTCTATCCATCCCGTGGGGCCCGTAAAAATTTTTAAAAGTTAATATTTATCTGCCCCTGGCTGCCTGTCGCGCAGCCCTCGATGCCTTGCCAAAACTCAGTAAGCAGCCCTCCGCACGAAATAATTGCCCGCCCCTGCTTTAAGTATACCACATGAGTACTGTTATCCCCCATTGCCCTGTTATATTCTAGGAAGTTTCATACAGTACCTCTGTGAAAGAGCTCTTCAGCCAATCCAGCTGTGATCCCGTTGATTTCCTGCAAAGAACAAATCACTATGTAAAAATATTTACTGTTCCTTCAAATGTGTTAATACCAGACATCTCCTTTTCCTGCTAAGGCACCAGATCTTTTGAAATGTCCTTCAAAACCCTAAACACTTCAACCATGATTAGACCCTTAACAGATGTTTAAAAATATTAAAGACGCTTTGAGGAAATAACCTGCAATAATACCATTTTAGTTATCAAAATGAAGTAGAACCAGCGCTCAGTGACAATTAAATAGGCACATGGTTAGATAAATAAGTTTAACAGAGAATGAAGACAAGAGATGTTAGTAGGGGTGAACTGATAAAGATTTTCTTGGCCGCTACCAACAGCTGATTATTCAACCAGGCATATTGGGTGATACTGCTCTAATAGCCAATTTACAGGAGCACAGCCAGGCAGTGTGGAGAGCAGCTCCCTGCAGGCAAGTCTGTGGAAGTGAAGGGGCATAGGTGGGAAGATCAAGGCCCCCACAGTGAGAAAGGAAGTGGGGCAGAAGCAGGGGCTAGGGGTACTGCTTAGCCAGGGTGGTCAATGGGACCCTAGGACTGGGGCAAGAAACGGAATGGAGCCACAGGCAGCTCATCCAGGGGAACAGCATCCTGGTGCTTAAAAATGGTGGTGGGGGTGCTTGAATTAAAGCTTGCCAAATGAGCTTTAGTTAAAGTGCTGCCGCCACCATTTTTAAGTGCAAGGATGCTTTAGGAGTGAAGTCAAAGAGGGCAGAGGCAGGCTGATCACAGTGGGCTCGGGGCTTTCTGCCCTGCTGCCTTTGCCCCGGTAGCCACACATGGACTATGCTGCGTACCCCACCTACCCAAGAGCAAGAGGCACAACTTGTTGCCCACCAACGCTGGGTGGGCAGGGGACGTGTGGCCAGCGCACAGCTCCCGAGGCCAAAACTAGAAGGGCGGAGGGCCCCGAGCCCACAGCGGGCAGCCCACATCTGCCCAGCAAAAAAATATGAGGGGGCCACATGCCCTGCCTTCCCTCCTCTGGGGATGTGTGGGGAGCTGTTCCCCCTCCCCCCATCCCTGGACGAGACACCCATGGCTCTGTCCTACTCCCTGCCCCTGGCTCAAGGTCCCATTTACCGCCTTGGATGGGCAGCACCCCCAGCCCCAGCATCACTCCTTCCCTCACCATGGGGGCCTCAATCTACCCCCCGCCCCCCCATCACGCCCCTTCCCCTCCACAGACTTACCTGCAAGGCACTGCTCTCCACAATGCCCAGCTGTGCTCATGGCCGTGTGCATGCTGTGGCTGCATGCATGCACGCAGCATCCAGGAGGCCCAGCAAAAAGGCATATTTTATTTAGCGGTACATTATCGGGTACAACAGTCAAAAAAACCCGATAGCTGATAATGTTAATTTTCCTTTTATCAGTGCCAATTCAATATGGCATCAATATATTGGTGCACCTATAGATGTCAGATTGAATATTGCCATGAAGTACTATTAGCACTGCTTGAAAACAACTTCATTCCTGAAACAAAAGCAAGTAATCAGTCTTCGACCTTAAAGTATCAGATGACCCTGATTATAAGACAACCCCCCAAAATTAGACTCTATATATGGAAAATGTATAAATTGTTATTTACACAAATTTATAAATTTATATAATTTCCAAGTATAGAACCTAACTATTGGAGCGTTGCCTTAAATGTGTCCTTCTTCCACTGCTATAACAGGGAAAATACATCTGGGGAGTCAGGCAGCCCCTTTGCTCTCTGCTTCCCCAGAACTTTATCTCCTGACAGTCCATTTCCCCTCCCCTTACTGGCAGACCCTGCTCTCCCCTAAGCACATGGAAGTGAGGAGCAAATTTGAAAACAATGATCTGGAAATTAGTCTGTCTGTCTGTCTGTCTGTCTGCCTGTCTGTCTGTCTGTCTGTCTGCCTGTCTGTCTGTCTGTCTGTCTGCCTGTCTGTCTGTCTGTCTGTCTGCCTGTCTGTCTGTCTGTCTGTCTGCCTGTCTGTCTGTCTGTCTGTCTGCCTGTCTGTCTGTCTGTCTGTCTGCCTGTCTGTCTGTCTGTCTGTCTGCCTGTCTGTCTGTCTGTCTGTCTGTCTGTCAATTGCAAGGGCCGAATCAGTTCCAAATTCCCTTGGGCAAATTCCAAGAAGCAAGTTCCAAATTTCAACTGAGCAGAGCTCAATCATTAAAGTCTGTGTGGCTCTACCATTGAGCAAGTATCCTGCCATCCAGACCCATTGGTCTAGGACTTCAAATACTCTCCAAATCCATGGGAGGCATCTTATGCGCTAGGCTCAGGCCCCGTAGTCTCACTTGCTCTTAGCCAAAAGGCCAAGGAGCAAGCCAACCCAACGGTTGTAGCAATTTGCTTATAGTACCCATACACTTAGTTCATCCAGAATTGATGTGTTATGTTTTTGTTTGTTTGTTTGTTTTTTTTACTTCTACAAGTTTTAGCACTGGTGTTTGATAAACGCACTTTTGAGCAGCACTTTGGCACTCACTTATATTTAGTACAAACTTTTTTATTATTATCTTTTTCAACGCCAAATCAACTTCAAATTCAATTGGACAAAGCTCAATAGCCAAGTTCCAAGTTGACTGAGCAGAGCTCAATCATCAAGTCTATGTGAATCTACCATCCAGCAAGTGTGCTCCCAATCAAACCCATCCATCTGGAGCTTTGGATCCTCCCCAGATACATGCAACCCGCAGGCCTGGAGACTTTGGGGTTCAGATGCCCCCAGTCTTGCTTAACCAAAAGGCCAAGAACAAATTATACATATCAGTCCAAAGCCAAAGGCTCAAGAATTACCACATAGTCCACTGGGCTGGACCCCACCAGAGTCAACAGCATTTCAAGCCATGGTGACCCCACAGCTCAGCACCGCTCAGTCTGTGTATGTACTCCAGATGCCCTTCTCAAAGGATCCAATTGCTAATTAGTCCCTCACTCATGACTGGAACTGAGTATTATCACAAATTCTGGGATGCTCCAAATATTTATATGCAGCTGAGGTGCAGGACAACCTGGCCTGGCTTCATCTCATGGAGGGCGTGACCATGCTAGTTATATGCCAGGCTGAGAGAGGGCACAACAGATGTGTTCTGGGTGAAATGTTTGGAGCCCTATTTCATGATGCTTGCCAGGTATTTAAGGTTGGTGAAGAATTAGGAACGAGCAACTTGCCCACGATCACACAGGAAGCTTGTGTACAGTCAAACCAAAAAAAAGTTTTCCCTCATTAGCTACCAAGACAAGCCACTCTGTATATTTATAGTGTTTGAAACCATTTTAACTTAAAGCAGGATGCAAACAGGTGAATTTGCTCAAAACTGCACACCGATAGTGATAACACAGAATAAACCCTCTAATATGAAACAAACCCTCTATTACAGGGGTCAACAGCCTACGGAACAGATCCAGCCTGCTGAGTTGAACCACTGCATCCAGCCCATGGATGTAGGGCTTTGATAACATGGCATTTGACAGGAAGGGCTTCTCCCCATTCTGCAGCAGGGAGAAGTGACAGTAGTGGGAGCTTCTCCTGGGCTGCAGCAGGAAGAAGGGTGGTGCTTTTCCTGTGCTGCAGCAGCAGGGGCTGGGTCCTAGCACCCACCCATCTCAAAGCTGAGCTGGATCATTCCAGTCCGTAGCCTGAAAAAGGCTGCCAACCACTGCTCTATTACTTACCCAAGTCAAGCTTCCTAAACTCACCAGTGTCGGGACCAAGGGCGGTCTAAGGCTATGGCCAGTAGCCCGGACCATCAGGTGGGGTTTTTCCACGACGGAGTAGAGTTAGGCACTGAAGCGTATTGGTTGTACAAAGAAAGCTTTACTTACACTGCCGATGGTCACAGCACAGGAAGGAAACTTGCTTGAGTTACAGTTGCACACAAACAAACAGAAGTGAGATCTCTTCCGAACCGAACCGAGTCGTTGATGTACGACTCCACACGCTCAACACGGGGGATACGTCAAATTTTCCACTATGATGGGGAGTGGCTAGAAGCTGATCAGGCCCCTATGTCCTCCTCCAAGACACACGTGGAGTTTGCTAGGCTCCACAGCGCGCTTAGAGTTCCCCACAAGATGGTTGTGGAGTCCTCCAACTTGGGCGGAAACTGCTCTAACCTTTTATACGGCTAGCGAGCCAATTGCTAGCCGCCACGTAGGAATAATTTAGAATTGACCAATAGTGCGACACTAATTTGCATACGTGTGGCGGGAACTCTTTTGCACCGAGGTTCTCTCTCTGCAGCTGAGAAATCCACCGTGCAAAGAAAGCTCCATGTGGCGGGAAAATTCCAATGTGCGGAGGCACTAAAAATCATTGGGTTATGACAACCAGTACTTTTTCTAATTACATGATGTGATAAGAATTTTTTTCTTTAGTCATTTAAACTTGATCAATTTTCTTAATAGATTATATACAACTCTGTTTCCACAACCATAAAAAGCCACTCAGCACCTCCCAATCCCAAAGAAATTCATTACTTTTCCTTCCTGTTTCAATCACCAGTGCATATTCCTTCTAATGTCTGCCTTCTCTGTTACAAAAAAACTACTATGCAACTTGAAGTCTAATGACACATGAAAGATTAATTAACTTTTTAAAATCTTAGGGTAGCTTGTCATATTTTATGCTTTAAAGTTGCACCTGTTTATAGAGTGGTGAATTACAGTATTGTTTAAAGTTGTCGTTTATATTCAACCTAAAGTTCTGTATAGCCCCATTGGTATCTGAACTTTTTATGTTGCTGATGTTTGCAACATCAGCTGGCCTTGCCTCTTCCAAGCAGCTTATGGCCTTGAGTTTACTCGCATGTTTCTTTCCTTTTCTATCACTGTGATAGAAGTTTTTCTAACAGAACATAGTAATAGTTTTTAGGGCTGTGCGAAATTTCACTGGCTGTTTCATTTCGCTGCTGTTTCAACTCATTTCGAGCTCGAAACAGCGAAATCGAAATGAAACGAAGGGCCTCGAAACAAAACAAGGGTAGTCAAAACATT